CAACAATATGTAACCTATACCGCCTGTGTAAGGGTGCTAAGTTCATTTTATGCAAATATTGTGCCTACTCAGACATTCAGTTATTAGTGAAAGGAAACTTTTACTTAGTTAAAAATTAACAGCAATAAACGTTTTGTGAAATTCTTTCTTGTCACGAAACGTTATAAATAAAATGAAGAAACTGCAAAACAGAAAAACCTCTAGTTTGATTACGTCTGCAAAAGAAAACAATTGATTTATTGATTTTTGCAAAAGAAAACATAATTTCGTGATATCATTATTATAAAAAATTTATTTCTGTTTCGCTTTGTCAAAAGTGGTAAATTACGGGAACACTTATACCATTAAGTATGCATGTATCAGTTCTACATCTGTCTGTCTAATTTTAAATCCTTCTGTCTATGTGTACCTATCTTTTAGTATATCAGACTAATATAAGGCAAACATAACAACATAGAAAAATTATAATCTCTTTGATGCCAAGGGCATATCGTAATGCTCTGGGATTAATTGTATTGTATTTAATTCCATGGCCTTCAACCAATTCTCAAGGTTTTTGTTGAAAGAATAGAAAGAGGGATTATACTGTTGCAGTCTTTATAATCAGTCTCACTCAGATCTTGCTTATATAAATTGTTTTAATAAATGTAATTCCACAAATAGAAAGCCTCGGTCAATATATGAACCAATATATTTTCAAATGTAACGTGTTAATAAGAAAAACAAAATCCAAATTAAAATGATACTCTATATATATAACAAAACGCATTCTAATCCAACTCAAAACGAATATTCGATTGTACAGACAAAACAGGTAACACACTCTTTAAAACATCAGATAAGATAATGGCAAGTTAAAAACCACTATTATTTCAAAGTAAGAAATAAATAATTGAACAAACGTTATACAAAACTATCATGAACGTCAGAAAAATAACTTAGAAAGTACCTACATGCCTTGAACTTTTAGATCGATAAACCCTGCCATTATAAATCACAGAATATCCAACTACACTTACATTAGGACGATTCGACTCGCAACCTTCGGGTCGCGAGTTCGAATTCCCCGTCACCGAACATGCTCGCACTTTCAGCCGTGGAGAAATTATATTGTGACGGAGAACCACACTACTCGTTGGTAAAATAGTAGCTGAAGAGTCGGCGGTTGGTGGTGTTGACTAGCTGCCTTTTCTCTAGTCTATTACTGCTAAATTAAGGACAACTAGCGCAGATAGCCCTCGTGTAGCTTTGCGTGAAATTCAAAACAAACAAAAACAAACTGTTTTTGACGAATTACAAGACATACAATATTGGCAAGTAAGTGAAATTTCTGTTTAGACATTGTTTATTTGTGAAGTTAGGCCTATTATTATTATGATGTCAAACTGTAGAAATTCGGTGGAATTTGTAGAACTTGAAGTTAAAAAATTCAACGATTTTTTTCTTAATAATTAGACTGAACTTTATTTTTTTTTTTACTGAATAATCAGAAAACCCACTCACCGTTAAAGTATTTTATGAACGTATATTGCCCCCCAGTGGCGCAGCGGTGTGTCTTCGGACTTACAACGCTAGAATCCGGGTTTCGATATCCGTGGTGGGCAGAGCACAGATAGCCCATTGTGTAGCTTTGTGCTTAACTTCAAACAAACAAACAAACGTATATTACTTTCTTATATCAGATGTATATGTATATGTACTCTATATATATACATGTATATGTATTTTCCCCAAGTGTTTAATATAGCCAATTCAATATACTGGCCTAACTGGGAGAATGAAATATCACAAAAAAAAAACACGTTACAATCAAGTATCAGTTAGGTATTCTCACTATTATCGATATTTCCGGCGGTAATTCCAACATACAATGTTATTGTAAACTAGCTTTTAATGAAAGTTCTTAATTATTTAGAATATTAAAGCAATATATCACAGAGGAGTGATACATATGTAGTTCTATGAATATATATATATCATCAAATACTTGCTTATGTTTTCGGGAAACAGATAACGATATGGGTAAAATATACAAAAACTTGAAAACGGCTGTTTATTTTCAAAATAGTGTTACAGATTTTACGTAAATATGCAGAAAAAGAAACTTCATGATATATATATATATTGCAATACAAATAAACTTTTCTTTTAAAATCCTGCAAAATATTTTCATAATCACGTTCTACTGCACCTGATCTTTTGAAATAACATTCTAAAGGTATAACTATATTCGCCAGATACTGCAAAGTTACAGCACGGTTATAAAAATATCACCTCAAAACACAGCAAAACCATATTAAGCCAAGCACTGATTTATAACATGCACCTTTTCGGCACCTTTTAAATATACAGAGATTAATATAACGAATACTCAGAAGTTACTGCAAAATTATTCATCTCAGTTATTAGGATCAGATAACAGTGAGACCTATGTCCTGTAATAAGAGTAAAACAGGAAGTTTTAAATATACAAAGCTGTTAAGAATGTTTTGTATTCTCACTTATTATTGTTCTTCGAAATGTATTAATGGAGCTCACATGACAAAATACCTTCATCAATTAAGACTATGTCAATTTTCTTTTCATAATATAGCAGAAAAAAACGCACATTTTTTTCCTCCATAGAAATAATACTAAATACCGGTTATTTTTCACACAAAATGTAAGTCACGTAAGTAAACACTGATGTATGTGACATATTTCTGACAAACATGTTATGTTGTTAGAAATGTGAAACATATATATAATGTTAACAATTTAAATTATAAAGTATTTGAACTGGAGTAAATGTTTATTGGATGAAAATACATAAATATAATATTAGTCTTTATCTAAAGGCCGGACAGTTGTTCACGCTGCTGTGTAATCTGGACCAACATCGCCTTCAGCAACAAACCCTCCTTTACCGGCAATATAATTCACAGTTCTCTGACGACCGTCACTGTCTATATAACCGTAAGAGCCCTTTACTGTCCCATCGGGAAGACGGGTTTCAGTACGGAAGCTCTGACCGAAGGGTCCCTTACCGGTGTCATAGACAAAGTCGTAATCACCCTGGAGTTTGGGGCCGATATTAACTTTGTGGACAAGAGCTGGTGGATGGTAGTTCTTAGGAGTATCAAGTTCCTGGGGCTGATGAGCATCTTTTAAAGCTTGTTGCTGTTCAAGATAGTATTCTTGCTGATCTTGAGGTTGGTGAGCAGCTGTGAGAGCTTGTTGCTGATATACTTGCTGGTTTGTAGGTTGGAAATTCCCACGTATAGCTTCGTTTTCTTGTTGAAGATGGCGCTGTACCTCTTGCTCATGTTGCTGAAGCTGAAGTTGATGAATCTTCAAGTCCTGATGAAGACTGTTAGAAACAGCATTGTAATGCCGAGACCTAGCAGCAACAGGACGAGCCTGATGTTGTAGTGCTGCTATAAAGTCTGGGTTGAAGTGTTGGCTTCCAGGACCTTGATAAAGCGTATTCTGAGCTGTCGTGGTCACAAAGCAGACACAGATGAGAATCACCTGGAAAAATAAAACTGGTCAGAGAAATGTGCACAAGGTTCGAGGCTCGAAGCTACCTCGCTATTTCTAACTGGAGATGTTAAACGAATCAAAAAGTTTAGAATAACATCGTTTGAACTAACAAGTTTACCAGGTCTGAAAAGCTCCGAGACTGAGTGAAACGATTTGTTGCCAGTGGCTACAAGAAAAAAGGTGAAATGTCATAATCGAAATCTCTTTTTTTTCATGCAGACTGGTAGTAAATAAAGTAAAACTAAAATCTTGAAAATTACTTCAGTGTTATTGTGATATTTCATCTCGTTTTTCTACCATAAATGTCGCCGTGTTTTGGCAGATTTGGACATTTTACACTTGTTACTCTTGTAAGCAGCAATAATATTTACTGACTGATAAACACATAGTTTACGTTATGAACAATTGAATTTTGTGATCAGCATTAACTTATCAGAATAAGAGTTATGCTCACGTCTAACAGTGCTCCAGGAAATGTATATTTTTGCAACAAAATAGTTTTATTCTTGAGCAACAGTAAACATAGGAGTTATTTTATTAAACATATTGAAAGACATGAGTCAAGTTTTATACCCGTCTATTAAGTAATTACCTACAAAACGGCTGATAACTTATTTATATCATACACACACAGAGAGAGTCGGAACCATTGCAACAAAGACATTTTTTTCTGTTCTGATATCAAACCTAGAAAAATATAGCAATTAATACAGACTTAATATATGTTAGATATTAGTGAGTATATGTACTTACTAAACGCTCCATTCTGTAAAAGATTCCCTCCGGCGAAAGAGGTCCGCTGCTGTATTATGTTTCAGTCGAGATATGTTAACGCCATTCAACTGTTGTAAATAGGGTTCCATCTATTTATATATTTTGTTGTGTGATTAGTTAGGCATGCTTTTCTCTTTTCTTTACGACGTCGTGAAGAAAGTTACGAAGGTCATTTTATTGTTTTTGGCTTTAGATAACGCTCAGTGGGCGCGAGGACACGCATTTTCCGGGACTACTCCTCTCATGTTACAGCGGTCTATGATGTCACCAACTTTCTTTATCAGCATACCAATCAGGATGCTTCTGGCTTTCAATCTTCTTTATGTCGAGGTAGCCTAGTTCTAGTTTTCACTACCTAACGGTGCTATTGCCGCACCTTCAAGGGCGACCAAAATATAAATCATAAACAGTTTCTTGTGACCTGAATCTTAGAGGTGTTTGGCAATCCAAACAATGAAAAATACACGTTTCGAAGAGGAATTTCAGCCAATCAAGGCTTCAACGGCCAATCCGTAAAACTTAGCACTATTTATGGCAGAAAAAACGTGATGTAATATCATAATAATACTGAAATAAGTTTCAAAATTTTACTTTTAATTTATTCAACTGACACAATTCTGAAGATCGACGACTATGATTCTTAATCTTTCTCTATTCCTCACTGCCTGTATAACTTTCCTTGTTCAAGCTTCTCATACCCAATCTATTTTATAATATCATCGAACAAATTGAGTTTCTGCTTGCCTCTCGCTCATCTTCTTCCAGTTTTACACATCAGATTCTCTACAAATCATCCCTCAGATCTGATTATCTGCCCAAATTATTGCATTTTCAGTTTCTTAACAATGTCCAGCAATTTTCCTCTTGTCTTTGTACGTTCCAGAACTTTCTCAGTAGTTTTCCTTCTATGCAGCTTATCTTTTTTTGTTCCAAATGCTTCTAACTGTCATTTTGTTTCAGTAAATAGGGACCCTGCAGAGTAGGACTGATCACACGTACAATTTTAATAGTCATTTTCTCAATTATAGTTTGCCATCTCTCTTGAGCAATTGTTTGAGTTTGAAGAATGCTGTTTTTTGCTACTCACATTCTTTGCCCTCTCTCTTCCTATACCAATTCCCAAGAACGTCATTTTACAAAAGGCTTTTGAGGGGGGCAAAGAAGGTTGACCTCGTGTGGGCCTCAGTTCATTTGTGAACATTGCGCTATGGCATAGTTTTTATATATGTGTAAATTTGACCTGACTAGAAACGTCCCACAGAAACTGCCATTTGTGGCCTCCTTTCGAGCTTGTGAAACCTCCCCCCTTCACACACATTCTCAAAAACGCCCCTGCCTGTTCTAACTCTTCATCTTCTACTTTGATGCATATCCTGGGATCTTCCTTAGATATTTCATGATTACTTATATAAAAATGGCGGTTGCATATCCTACTTCCCATAAAACAAAGAGAGCAGATAAAAACCAAATTATGATGTAAACATCGGAACAACGTAAAAACAAAAATGTTTAAGAATTATTTTTTTAGAAAATAAGAGGTACACAGTTTAAGAGTTTACGATTAGTTTCAGTACAGTGTAAAGTGCGACAATTGATTGAAGTGGCCTCGAAAACTAGCAATCGAAAAAGAGGCCGTGAGTGTCTTGGAAATGAACTACCTTTCACTTCATATAGACAGAATACTAATTTATCAGAAACCACTGAACACACAGAGATATTACAATGTGAGAGAATAGAAAATGTTGATTGTATTTCTTCATTATAATTTGTGTTTAATCAAACTGGCTTACATCCATATAGCATCATATATTTGTTATTCATTCATCTTCTTACTGGTTTTTATAATATATGGCTTTATAAATATATCTTGGATTCTATTCCATGTTATGTAATATAATATATATGAAACACTTAATAATATTGATGGTTAATTAATAAAAACTCCTTGATAAAACAGAAATATTTAAATAGTACCATAATTTTCCAATTTTACAAGTATTTTCAAGGTATAGGCAAATACTTTTGTTTATGTGTATGCAATAATATATTTAGATATTTAGGTGAAGCAAGCCAACATAAATGTTAGTATTTGCAACTTTAATAATAGGGCATCCCCTCCTCTTATCACATTCGAAATTTACCTTAGAAGGCTGACATTTAGTATAAAAGCATTATGTGTAAAAACACGCTTCATAGTTGTTCATATATATATTCTACTTCCTGGTCTCTAGAAATTACTGAGAATCAACCATGTAACAATTTCGAATCCACTCAGCCTTAGTGCAGCTGACTCAGTAACTGTTCAGAAGTATGTTTTTGTTTTTGTTTACCTGTAACTTGTGCAAATCAATACAATAAACTTATAGTTTGGTGTAATAAATTGTTTTAGGTCGTCTGGAGCAGAATTAGATCCAAATATATCTGGAGTGTGATTGGATTTATAACAACTATAAATTGCAGTGATGTCTCTTTAACCCGTCGGACAGTAACTCATAAATCAGATCATGTTTGTAAGCGAGAGCTTTTCCTGTACTACTGTTTTCATTTTATATTTCTAGAGTCTTTGTACGATTCCAGATCGGAGTTGTAAAGGTTAACGCCTCTTTAAGCTAGGTATGTACTTCTTGTCTAAGAACTAAGCGTTTTAAGTGTAATTTGAATTTCCCAGAAGCTCCCCCGTAGCACATGGGGTATGTCTGCAGACTTACAATGCTAGAAACTAGGTTTCGATAACCGTGGTGGGCAGAGCTCAGATAGCACATTGTGTAGCTTTGTGCTTAATTACAAACAAACAAAATTTTCAAGACAAATAAGGTTAGTTCTCAAGATCATGTTTTCACAGACATTACCTTTGACAAAAGGAAGGGGGAAACACAGTTTTTTGAAACATTTTCTTGTTTTATAAAAACGGTAAGCATATTTCACAGGGAACAATGTAAGTCGTATTTCACAGTTGTATTATCTACAATTACTGGTAATGGTAGGAGTGCAAAAGATTTTGTTTCTGAAACATGCAGAACAAAATAAATGAACTGAATACCGCGATCATCAATGAATGCGTTCGTAATAATGCCGACAAATGTAAAAACCTTAAATATTAATATTTGAACGTTATTTCACCTGTTCAATAATCTAGTTTATCAGGATCTTGTGTACAGTAAACTGTTTATCACCAAATAAACTACAAATGTTTACTTTATGTACAGAACAGCACATAATGTGAGTTAATAATACAACAGCGTTCAAGTGTATATGCCATAGTCACTGGCTAAACATGACTTCTGACCTAATGACACTGTATAATATTCTGATCAATGTGACTCTCTTCAAGTGACACTGTATAATATTCTGACCAACGTGACTCTCTTCAAGTGACACTGTATAATATTCTGATCAACGTACCTACTGACCAAGTAACACTGTAACATTCTGATCAATATGACTTCTGTCCTAGTGACACTGTATAATATTCTGATCAACGTGCCTTCTGACCAAGTGACACTGAAACATTTTGATCAATATGACTTCTGACCAAGTGACACTGTAATATTCTGATCAACGTGACTCTCTCCATGTGACACTGTATAATATTCTGATCAACGTGACTGTTGACCAAGTAGCACTGTAATATTCTAATCAATATGACTTCTGGCCATGTGACACTGTATAATATTCTGATCAACGTGACTGTTGACCAAGTAGCACTGTGATATTCTAATCAATATGACTTCTGGCCAAGTGACACTGCAATGTTATGAATAATATCAGTCTTGAAGAAATCTCAACTTCTGCAGATTCATTGTTTCTAAGGTGTAATACAATAAGTGATTTCTGAAGTATATCTATGTATCCTCCTAACCACGATGCAGAATGGACCCTTACACATTGAGGTCAGAATGTCTTGATGTCTACCTTTGTTTTAAACAACACTTATTCCACACAAAAATTATGACCACTTATAAGATATCATTCCTGAATTAGTGGTCTCTTATTTTCTCCATGTTTGATAATATTTTAATAGAATTTGTGCGAACAAAATATTAGAGAAGAAATTGATAGGTCAACTTATAGTAATATTAAGGCGCCGTTGTGTTAAAAATAATAAAACTTTGTTTTTGACTAATTCATTAAAAATCTACCAGATAAGTAACTGAATTAATATATAATTTTGTAGCGCTACTTTCAATAAAGCAAGTATAGGAAGTATTCCACGTTGTGTGTCTAACTGCCTACCATTTTGACTCGGAACTCGTTTTTCGATTGTCTTTTATTGTACTCAAATTTCAAAATCATTCTTACTATTAGAATTTCAATAATACTTGTTACTGTGAAATTGGTGTTATACGTTTGTGTATGAGTATAAAGAGTCGTACTGGATATAAATACTGTGTTATGAAGCTTAAATCTTCGGTGTGCTAAAACGGTGAATGACAGGAGGAACTTTTTTAAGGCCCAGGAGGAAGGTACGGCTTGAATATTGATTAGCTCTAGAAAAACACCTTAATAATTAGGTGGCAAGGTAATAAAATCCATCTATATGCATTAGCACAAGGTCAAAAAAACAAAAATCAACTCCAGATCACGCATGCTCTGTATTGAATGAGAAGATTAAGTTTATTGCTTATTGATTATGTTGTTTCTTTATAATCAGTGCTGAGTATATGGATATTTTTATAGTAAACTATTCCACCTGATTCCAGTAATTTCAAGATAAGAGCCATTTCTTTACATTGAATTCCTTAATTTGCCACCATGACACAATTATAAGTATATATGTTTCTTTCGTTAAATGCCAAAATCATAAAAAAATGTTTTTTGTTTAGATTTCGCGTAGTTGACACATGTTATTGAATGAGCCATTTTTGTTTTCATACCGACTTGGACAGAGGCACAGTCCAATATCAAACCTCGATGAATCATTACCGAACTAAGTGAAATGAAATCGAACGATATTCTTGTTGACGACATGTTTTAAAACCATGTTCTTTCTCTCTTGTTTCTGCTGTTGCTTCTCGCTGTTTCTTCGAGCTGAGCCAAAAACAGAATTCGTTGGTGTGGAAAAGGTTGTGTAGGGTAAGTTTATATTTATGATTAAGTTTCTTCGGTTGTTTTTGTTCTTATTTTATAATCAAATACTGAAAATTCAAAAT